AGAATTCTTGTACAGTGGTGCCTCGCTTTACGATTGCCCCGCATTACAACAAATCCGCTTAATGACAATCTTTTTGTGATAGCAAAACGATGGTCTGAATGGGGGAATTTTGCTTTGCGATGATCAGTTCCCTGCTTCGGGAACCGATTCTTCGCAAAATGATGTTTTTTGAACAGCTGATCGGTGGTTTCAGAATGGCCGCCGGGTGATTAAAATGGCTCCCCGCTGTGCTTAGGGATGGATTCCTCGCTATACAGGCAGAGAAAATGGCTGCTGTATGGAGGATCTTCGCTGGACGTTGAGTTTTTACCCCATTGGAACGCATTGAACGGGTTTCAATGCATTTGAATGGGGTTTTTATTTTCGCTTTACGATGTTTTCGTTTAACGGCGATTTTCCTGGAATGGGTTATTGCCATTAAGCGAGGCACCACTGTAAATCCAGCATTTCTGTCTGCCTGCTAGCATTTTGTAAAGTTGCTAGTAAAAATCAGCTTTCATGACATTTCTGATACAGATCCGGGAATATTAAAAATTACTGCTTTCGTTTTGCAATTTTTAAAAAAAGAGTACTGTATACTACTGCTTTTAAACATCTGTCTTTTTTTGGCCAAAGGCATACGTTTAACAGTAATTAAAAGTGTCAATTTTCCTCAAAATAATTCACATGCCTATCATCCTTCTGTTGCTCGTGGACTTTTAATTAATTTAGTCAACTGCCCTATGAATCCACGTTATCTCAATTTCCAGAATTTTCGATTCCCAAGGACTTGTGATCTGCCATATTCCTAGTCATCAATAAAGCTGGAGTCAGGTCTATAGCTTGAATTTTAACCTTCCTTAACCTCCTATTAGTGTTTCTGTTACAACTCTGGTGTTTCCCTGAACATGCACCTTATTTTCATGTGGAATATCGTTAGGTAGAACCCGTGTAAAGTTCTGAGGCTTCAAACCTCAGAAATTCCTGGGATTGCCATGTTAATTCTTGCTGCGTCATGAAGGACGTTTTCCTTGATACCTCTTGTGAATTTTAGCACTAAATCTGCTTGTTAGTGTGACAAACCCAGACCTACTGGGATCTGCCACACGTTAACTAAGCTGCCACCAACCATTCCCTATAACCCTGTACATCCCTCTCTATAAGACGTCTCATTGAGCCCAGAGGGAATGACTTTGAAAGAGAAATTCCTGGGATTGCCATGTTAATTCTTGCTGCGTCATGAAGGACGTTTTCCTCGATACCTCTTGCGAATTTTAGCACTAAATCTGCTTGTTAGTCCTGCCAGATTTAGGCCCATTGTATCAATGGGACTTCTGCAAGTGATGATTTAACAAAGTTGAGACTAGCTGTTGCATTTTCCACTATTAATTAATAGATTTAACCTGCATTCTTTTGTAGATGAGAAATGCTGTGAGAGAAAAAAATAAACATACAGTATTCCTGTTTTATATATTCTCAAAGGCTTTCATGGCTGGGTAACAAAGTTTAGCTGTTGCATTTTCCACTATTAATTAATAGATTTAACCTGCATTCTTTTGTAGATGAGAAATGCTGTGAGAGAAAAAAATAAACATACAGTATTCCTGTTTTATATATTATATTCGGTCCTTTTCATTGGGTGATTATGTTGATCAGGGTGTATTTCGTTGTGGGTATATTGTTGTGATAAGGGGGGGAGATGATCTGTCAGTGTGATTGATGGGTGTGATTGATGGGTGTTTTGTTTTGTGGATAGTGTCATTCAAAGTGTTATTTTTCTTAGAGAAACAAGGCCTTTACCCTTTCAAGCATAGAAGTGAGACCCACTTGTAAGACTGTTCTTGCTATTTGCTGTTGTGAATAAGAACTTGGGTTAAAAACAGTAATTTCCCCCTGAGACTGCCAAACAATGAATTTTAAGCCTATCACCTTGTTTTTGGTTGCTTGAGCTAGATAAATGAAAATTTGCACTTCTGGTTTTAAAACCAGGATTCTCTTAAATTTGTCTGGCCCAATGGCTCCCAACCTTGGTTTTCCAGATGCCCTTGGACCGAAACTCCCACAAGGCTTCACCATTAGATGTGCTGGCCAGGATTGCCGGGAGTTGTAGTACGAGAACACCTGGAGAGCCAAGGTGGGAACCACTGAGCTACAGAATATAGGATCACAGGTCAATATCCATGTCTAGATAGGGGAACACCTGTGACCAGTCTTTCTCCCATGTTCTACGTTCTCTATTTTCTTTTTGTTTATTTGTTTTCTTTGGGGAGGTGTCTCTTGAATTGACTTCCAAATATTTTCATTTTCTGATTTCTAATTCGACTTCTTTCTCCATTGCCTGTTGGTGACTCTACTAAGGAGAGAATTCTTGTACAGTGGTGCCTCGCTTTACGATTGCCCCGCATTACAACAAATCCGCTTAATGACAATCTTTTTGTGATAGCAAAACGAGGGTCTGAATGGGGGAATTTTGCTTTGCGATGATCAGTTCCCTGCTTCGGGAACCGATTCTTCGCAACATAATGTTTTTTGAACAGCTGATCGGTAGTTTCAGAATGGCCGCCGGGTGATTAAAATGGCTCCCCACTGTGTTTAGGGATGGATTCCTCGCTATACAGGCAGAGAAAATGGCTGCCGTATGGAGGATCTTCGCTGGACGGTGAGTTTTTACCCCATTGGAACGCATTGAACGGGTTTCAATGCATTTGAATGGGGTTTTTATTTTCGCTTTACGATGTTTTCGTTTAACGGCGATTTTCCTGGAATGGGTTATTGCCATTAAGCGAGGCACCGCTGTAAATCCAGCATTTCTATCTGCCTGCTAGCATTGTGTCTTCCTCAGGACTTCTAACCCTCCAGGTGGACACTTGCCTAGTTGCATACCATCACCCATTGTCTCTTGTTTTATCCTGGTGAGATGCAAAAAAAAGTGCTCTCTTCCTTCACTGTTAAAAGCTCAGGTTATTTCTAGCAAAGTGCAGGAACCACATTTATTAGAGAACAATCTTATTCTCACCTACTTCTTCCTCATCTCTTCAGTTCTGTCCCGTTGTTTTCCAGTTCTGGCATCCAGGCTGCATAGAACCAAGAATATCCGGAGCTTGGAATTTTCACTTTAATGGATTGTAATTTCCAGAATTTCCCAGATCGATACGACTTGGAGGATTCTGGGAATTGTAGTCCAAAAACTTGGTAGGGATGACACAAAGAGAAAAAAACACACTAAAGAGACTCTTATTTTCCTATCACTTTCCGTTGCGCAGATTCGGCGCTCTACGGAGCGACCATTCTGCGAGGCACCACTGTACATAAGAATCTAGTGGTCCCCCCCTGCCCCGTATTGACTTCTCTTGTTTAACCTTTATTCACCCTTTGTATGTAAAACCACTGGATTAATTTAGGGGTTTCGTGCAACGGCCAGAGGGAACAAGAATGGGAAAGAACAGAATCCAACCACCTGCAAGAGGTGGACTCTTTTGTCCTTTGTGAGAAGGTCGATGCACAAAAAAAGGGGATGTGAATATGGAAGAGGCAGGAAACTAAAATGAAACTGAAATGAAACTATGGGAAAGTTGTTGTTGTTGTTGTTTTTGGCTATGTACGCATTCCATAGCTCTGCTCAACTCTTGTACTGTACATGCTGCTTGCCCTGATAGGGTTCATCCTTCTTGAGAAGAGCCAGAAATTGCTATTTCCAGATAATAGGCCTTTGGGAGTTTAAAAATAATAATTTCATGTCATGCAATCAATTCTGGCTTATGGTGACCCTTTCAAGGGGGGCCTTTGGGAGTTTAAAAAGAATAATTTCATGTCATCCAATCAGTTCCGGCTTATGGTGACCCTTTCGAGGGTTTCTTAGGTATAAAGTAGTCCCAAGTGGTTCCCTGTTCTTTCCTCCATGCAGGCACTCGGGGACTGTGCAGCTGGCCCAAGGCTACCCAGGCTGGCTCTTCTCCCGGGAGGCACCACGAGGGAATCGAACTCCCAACCTTTTGCTCTGCTCCGGGAGGCACCACGGGGGAATCGAACTCCCAACCTTTGGCTCTGCAGCTGGATAGCAAACTCGCTGAGCTATCCAGCCAAAAGATCCATGTGTTCCTTGTGGAATCTCAGTATGCGTCTAGATAGGGATAACCATAACTTATTCTTGTAAACTGTGTCACAGAGGCTTTACTCTGAAAGGTGATATAAAGATATTTTTGAAAGAATCAATAATTTGGGGGGGGGGGGGGAGAGAGTGGTTTTTCATTCCTTTGATACAATTAGCTTCCTGACTCCTTGGTAAAGGGCAGAGCGAGCCATGGTCTTCTGGATCCTTCGATCCTAATCCCTTTCAGCTCCAGCTGATGATAAGGGACAATGGGTGTGGCAGTTTAGCAACATCTGGAGACCACTTGGCTTCAAAATTCCACAGTTCTGTGGTCCATCCATTCTTGCATCCTGTTTCTGGGATATATATATGTTTCAGTCCTTGAGAGACTTGAGCTTCAGTTTCATCAGGGTGATTTGCCTCCCAAAATTTCCAAGTGGGTGGAAAAATTTCCAACTGGATAGCTGCGTTGATCAGTTGCAGCACAAAAGAAATAATAATAGAAGCCGGTGCCACCTTGAAGATGACTGAGTTTGATGCAGTGGAATAGAAAGATTGTGGCACGTAGACACGGGCGCTTCATGTTCGTATCATGGAGGGCCGCTGGTCAGCTGAAGGGGGAGACTCTTCCTCCCGCCTCCCTGCCACTGTGGTCAGTTGCGTGGGGAGGCAGGGAAGTGTCGGCAGGGCTCCTTCCTGGATTGGTGCGATGGTGCTGTGAAAGGACCCGAGTGTAGCATAGCACTGGGGGGAGTGATCTGGCTGGTTCTGAATATGAAGCATCCATGTCTAGTTGTGGCAAATAAAACATCTGATGATCTAGTCGTTTGAGCGGAGGAATGCATGTTTTGGTGAGGAATTCTGAAACGGCAAATGGGTCTTCTCTTTCTCTTCATTGCGCCTTCTGCTTCTTCTTTTGTCCTTCCACCAGTCTGCTGGAAACCATGTTTCACTACACCGACGAACCCAGGTTCACCATAGAGCAGATAGACCTGCTCCAGCGGCTACGGCGCACGGGGATGACACGGCACGAAATCCTGCACGCCTTGGAAACCTTCGACCGCCTCGACCAGGAGCACAGCGACAAGTTTGGGCGGCGGTCAGCCTACGGGAGCGGGGGCGGATCCTGTAGCAACAGCACCACTAACAATGTCCCGGCGTCTTCCTCTACCGCCACGGCTTCCACCCAGACCCAGCACTCTGGGATGTCCCCTTCGCCTAGCAACAGTTACGACACCTCCCCGCAGCCTTGCACGACTCATCAGAACGGGAGGGAGAGTAACGAGAGGTTGTCCGCCTTTAACGGGAAGATGTCGCCCACCCGCTACCCTTTGGCGAACAGCATGGCGCAAAGATCCTATAGCTTTGAAGCCTCAGAGGAAGATCTGGACGTGGATGACAAAGTGGAGGAGTTGATGCGGTAGGTGAAACGGGGCTGCAGAGGCAGAGGGGTCCCTTCTCCCCAAAGATCCTTCTTTCCCTTCCCCCCCCCAAGTGGGGATGCCTCTGTGGGTCAAACCCTCAAGGGAAACATCTGTGCCCTTCTTTCTGGTCGAACAACCCATCTCCCATCCAACCCAAGGTTCATGGATGGTCCCACTGAGATGATACATGCTGCGCAAGTTTGGCATAGCTTTTGGGTGGCCATCCAACATGGCAGCTCACATGATGGAGCTTCCGTGGGCTGAGTCACTGTGGCTGAAGGATGGACACACAGCTCCCGTCATCCCAAGGACGTATGAGCAGTAGGTGGTCTGCTCAGTGGGAGTTATAGCGCCTGAGTAAGGGTTCAGAGAAGGGATATTCTAAAAGGCTGGCCACTGAATGCAGGATCTCCTGGAGTGCTGAATAGATGCAGAGCTAATTATTCAGACTACAGCTTGGTGTGCATCCGTCAGCCAGCGTGGCCAATGGATACCAGGAGCCGTAGCCAGAATAAGGGATGTTTTGAATCTGTCAGAGGTGGTGCTGAGTGTCAGCTGCAGAGAAGATTGTATAGGCCTGGGTCTCTGAAAGGTGACATTTTTGCCACTTATATTGCTATTTTATACGGAATGTACCATTTCAGTGCAGTAAAACAGATACGACGAGCTAGTTGTCAAGAAGCAATTGCAGCAGTGAGCCGGTGTCTAGAGAAATTCTGTATTTAAGATTGGACCGGGAGACAGGAATTGATGAGCAGGACTTGTGCAGAAACAAAATGAATTCCGCAGCTTTGCATCAATTATTTGCACCCTTGTATTTCTCAGTTAAAATATTTTTTTTAAAAAAATATAATTTATGCTGATTTTGCCAGAGTAAATTAGGAGCAAAATGTCAGAGGGAGCTGAATTATGTCTACTTTGACACTTTAGCAGGCATTGCTCAGCCCTGGTTGGGATTTTGCTTTTGACAGAGAGGGGGTTGGGGACCCATCTTATCTATATCATACTGCTGATTCATTAAACTTTTAAGGGTGCTGCTTCCGCCCCTTGGTACTGAGCTGCCTTCTCCTCTGGCTACCCATTCTGCCCATGATCCTTCCTCTTAGGTCCATTCTAGCAGTATGAACACAAGCGATCCTCTCTTCTAAGCAGGAAGATGTGAGGCTTTGGAGCAGAATACAGAAGGGGACTTCATAGTCCTACGTAAGATCCACCGTCATCTGCCAGCTGTTTCCCCTTGGCAAGTTAATTTCCATGTCTGATGTAGGATGTTGGCATGTCTTGGATGTAGAATGGCCCCTTTGTGGAGCTCAACACCGCAAAGCTGTATCCCAACAAGAAAGGGCACATTGGAGAGTTTTGGGGTAAAAGCTTGCTTTTTTTAGACTGTGGCTCCTAGAATCTAGATAGCAGTTTTCGAATACTTGAAAGGTACTCATCAAGAGGAGGGTCTGTTCTCGGTCATCCCAGAGTGCAGGACACGTAAGAATGGACTCAAGGTGCAAGAAGCCAGATTTAGGCAGAGTATCGAGAAAATTTTCTTAACTGTTAGAGCAGTACAACAAACCAATGGCGTTGTGAGGTAGTGAGCACTCCAAGGCTGGAAGCATTTAAGAGAAAATTGGACTACTATCTGCCCAATCTGCTTTGATTTAGATTCCTGCCTTGAGCAGGGGGTTGGGCTGGATGGCCTTTTAAACCCCATTCTAACTCAATTATTCTATGAAATTCTATGAAATCTCCCAGCCAGCCATAGTCATAGGAGATTCTGGGTGTTCTAGGCCGAAAAAGGGGAAAAAAGCTACCAAAATCAGAAGGATCACTATTTAAATCTTTGGAGAACTATTGTTAATGAGAAGCCAAAATCCTGTTGCTTGGCCATAGTACATGGTGCTACACTTGACCCCTGAAATCAAAGGAGATTTGATGTGTCAACGCCATAAGTTTCATTGAATCAAAGGGGACCCTACTCTAATGGCAACATCCTTCAGTGTTATAGGTCGCAGTTAGAGTAGACCCATTTGGATCAATAGATCTTATTGAGGAGGTAACATACTAAATCCCCATTGATTCAGTGTGCCTGACTGCACTAGGCAACAAGATTTGAGTCAGAATGGATGAAAATGGACGGACTGGGGGATCTGAAAACAACTCTTAAAACAGCTTTGGGACACATGATGGATGGGTGGGGGGCCCCTCTAGGGTTCCCCAGAGGTTGGTGTCACAATTCAGTGAGCATGATTGCACTAAGCCAGTGGTTCTTAACCTTTGTTTCTCGGATGCTTTTGAACTGCAGTTCCCAGAAACCCCAGCCAGCACAGCTGATGGTGAAGGCTTCTGGGAGTTTCAGTCCAAAACTCCTGAATAACTCAAGGTTAAGAACCAGTGCACTAAGCAACAAGATTTGGGCCAGAATGGATGAAAGTAGACGGACTGGGGGATCTCAAAACAAGTCTTCAAACAGCTTTGGGACGCATGATGGATGGGTGGGGGGGTCCCTCTAGGGTTCCCCAGAGGTTGGTGTCACCAGACAGCATGGTCACCGGATGGGGATGATGGGAATTGTAGTCCAACCATATCTGTAGAGGCACTTATTTCCTACCCTGCCTTAGATGGTATCAAGTCTAAGTTTGATGCCTTTGCAAGGGGGGTCCGGGATCTCCGTGCACCTGCTGATGCCCAGCTTGCTCCCCTCCCCAGATCACATGGCCACAGCAAAATCCTGTCTGAGCGTTTGAAACGGTTCTATCTTTCAGCCCCGGGTGACAAAAAAAACCCGGGGCTGGCTTTGATGGAGCTTTGGCCTGCAGTCCTGTGTGTGGAAGGCATTTGTTTTTTTTTTCTGAGTCAACTGCTTCCTTTTCTGTTCCAAAGAGGCTTGGGTGGGAGAGATTTATTCATTCCCCTGTAATGAAACCCTGTGCAGTTCCGTATGGCTTGCATGGATTTATACAAGCCGTGAGTCATCCATTCTCGTCCTGGTCAGCTTTGATCCGCCGGTGACACTGATTAAAAGAAATGTACGCTGGCGAGAATACCCCTGTCCAAACCCTCCCCTCTCGCGTGCGGAAGGCATTTGTGTTTTTTTTTTTTCTGAGTCAACTGCTGCCTTTTCTGTTCCAAAGAGGCTTGGCTGGGAGAGATTTATTCATTCCCCTGTAATGAAACCCTGTGCAGTTCCGTATGGCTTGCATGGATTTATACAAGCCGTGAGTCATCCATTCTTGTCCTGGTCAGCTTTGATCCGCCTGTGACACTGATTAAAAGAAATGTACGCTGGCGAGAATACCCCTGTCCAAACCCTCCCCTCTCTTCCGTCCTCCAGATTCTCCTTTGGCCCCAACCTCGTTTTCTTTCTCTGTTTAAAAAAAAAATGACTTTTCCTCCCCACTCTTCTTCCCACCCATCCACCCCCACCCCACCTCCCTTCTTTTTTTGGCAGGAGGGACAGCCTTTAGCTAGAAAGGGTGTTTAATTAGGTGGTTTTATTTTATTAGATCTGTAATTGGTCCAGCCCTCTTGAGTGTGGCTAATGCAACTCCACTTCCTCGTCGTTCTCACACGCCGCTAAAGTTCAGTTCGAGAGCATTTCCAAGGAAGAATGTGCAGGGGAACGTAATCCTTCAGTTCTGTTACTCAAACACGTGCTGTGCACCCTAATAGCAGCGTCGACGTCAGGAGATTATGTTGTTCATGTAAACTTTGGAAGATCCAGGACCTGTTTTCCTGCCCCCGGGACCTACGAGGGATCACACCAGGCCCTGAAAGTGTCGACATTGTCTTTTTAAAAAGTCTCCTCTGGTTTCTGGAATACCATTTCCTGCTATTCTCATACGCCGCTAAAGTTCATTTCGAGAGCATTTCCAGGGAAGAATGTGCAGGGGAACATATCCCTTTAGTTCTGTTACTCAGACATGTGCTGTGCATCTTAACAGCAGCATCAACATCAGGAGATTATATTGTTCATGTAAACTTTGGAGGATCCAGGACCTGTTTTCCTGTCCCCGGGACCTACTAGGGATCATACCAGGCCCTGAAAGTTTTTGTCTTTTAAAAAAGCCACCTCCGGTTTTTGGAATGCCATTTCCTGGTTTTTTTTTTACTTCTTCTTAACAGGTTTTGAAGGGCTGCATCTCTTTTTTTATGAGATGAAAACTGTTGCTTCTCTAAGCTTCAATGAGCAAAAAATGGATTTTTTTAATCAGTCCCCCCTCTCCTTTTTTTTTCCTTTCCTCCCTGGATAGCCCCCAGATTCCATAGGACCTCTGTCGAGTCTATGTGGGCCATGGAGTGTAAAATGGCCACAATCCACACTTTGCCCAGCCATGCTATAAATAAAAAGTGGCAAACGCCTTTGAACTCAATGTCCATATTCTATTCCATTGAGGTTCTCAGAAGCCTCCTTCTGCTGGTGATTGGTTAGGGCCCAAGATGGAAGAGCAGGATCCAAAATACCATTATATTTGAACTTAAGAAAATAGTTGCTGCTTGTAAATAAACCTTAGGAGAAGCACCTTCTCCTAAGGTTTATTTATAGGGTTGGTCTCCCTCCCTCTGTTGAGGTCAGTGGAAAAGATTACTTGGGTAGGTGCATCTTGCAAGGATGACCAGGGTGTAGCTCTGCAAGTTTGCAGATGGGGGGTGCCCCGTTGGGCACCCAAGTGGAAGGAAGAGATCGCTTGATTTGAGATCCTAGACTTGTAGATCCGGAAGGGGCCTCGAGGATCATCAAGCCTGGCTCCCTGCAGAAAGAGAAGTCACCACTGAAGCAACCACAAGAGGTGACCATCTCACCTCTGCTTAAAAATGTGCCCTGGAGGAGAGGGTATTACAGTATCCAACTCATATCTGTGAGTGGGATGGGGAGATGGGGAGGAAGGGCACGTCGCCTGGGGAATGGTGGGAGAGGGGAGTGCACGGCCCCTGCATCACAGCTCTGTGGGCGCAGCCAAACGGAGCCAAAATGCTAATCTCTCATGCCCATCTCTCATCAGAACTGCAAAATGGAGAATGACCAGAGCCATCATTCTGATGAAAGAAATCTCAGTAGGTTTAAATGGATGAAATCTGTTCCCTTTTGCCTATGACGGACGGACGGACGGACGGACAGACAGACAGACAGATAGATAGCATTGTAAAAACAAAGAGCAAAAAATATTTCCACGTGCATTATCAGAACTGGTCACTAGAGGGAACCAGAGGTCATGGTATGTATTCTTCACTTATAAGTATTCATAGCACAGTCGCTGGCTCCCTCGAGTGGCTGGTCCTAGTAATACGTGTGAAAATATTTCTTTCTGGTCTTTGGCATTAAGGAGAGGGAGGGAATGGAGCCCAGCATGGCGATTCCTATCAAAGAAATAATTCTGCAGTTTAAAGAATCGTAAACACCTTTCTGATTGATTGAAAGCTTTTGAACGGGTTCAATTCCATCAAAACATTCAGTAAATAAAAATTGGAAGGTCTCGTAATTATTAATTGAATCAGGTTTTCCAGCACTGTGTGGTGTTGATAGTTGGAATGAGACTAGCTAGCTCAGCCATGCTGGGAAGGGATGATAGAGGCTGTAGTTCCACACATGGAGGACTCCAGGTTTGGGAAGGGAAGTCTAGGAAAAAAAAATACAGTAGGACCCCCATAGCCATTGGGGATTGGTTCCAACAACAGATGCTGATCTGATGGATAAGGGGGTGCCACTGTGCCCCTTTGCCACAGGATGGTCTTACGTCTGTGTTGATGTAGATGTAACTCAGAACAGGGGGTGGAGAATGCAACAGAGCGATTTAATGAGGCACCTAGGTCTTGTGTCTGGAGGACAATGCTGGGGCCTCAGCAGGTGTCACTGTACAGCGTCTCCCATCCTGCAAGAATTTCTCCATTTGACGAACAGAGCCTTTTTTTAAAAACTCCAGGTTTGGGAAGGGAAGTCTAGGAAAAAAAAATACAGTAGGACCCCCATAGCCATTGGGGATTGGTTCCAAGATGCCCGTGCAAGGTACTGAAAACGGTGGGTAATAATGAACATGGTAGATGGACAGACGGACGAACGGACAAACAGACAGACAGACAGATAGATAGCATTGTAAAAACAAAGAACAAAAAATATTTTCACATGCATTATCAGAACTGGTCACTAGAGGGAACCAGAGGTCATGGTATGTATTCTTCACTTATAAGTATTCATAGCACAGTCGCTGGCTCCCTCGAGTGGCTGGTCCTAGTAATACGTGTGAAAATATTTCTTTCTGGGTTTTTTCTTTTAATATTTTCAGACCGTGAATAAGTAATCAACAGATGCTGATCCCATGGATAAGGGGGTGCTACTGTGCCCCTTTGCCAGAGGATGGTCTTACGTCTGTGTTGATGTCGATGTAACTCAGAGCAGGGGGTGGAGAATGCAACAGAGCGATTTAATGAGGCACCTAGGTCTTGTGTCTGGAGGACAATGCTGGGGCCTCAGCAGGTGTCACTGTACAGCGTCTCCCATCCTGCAAGAATTTCTCCATTTGACGAACAGAGCCTTTTTTTAAAATGAAAGGAAATTGCCCTGCTTTTAATAGATGGCTTTTTGATGTGCTTATTATGTATTTATACTCCATGAAGATTACATCCTGCACTTTTGGCATATATGTGTGTTCTCACATTGGCTAGTGAAATAGTAAAACAACAGAAATATACTGGCTGAAATCCCGTTGCTTAGCATAGCCAGTCTCCAGTAGAGTAGCCCATTGGGTCAATGGCACTTCCAGACAAGTTGACTCACCAGACCCCATTGACTCAATGAGTCTGTTCTAGTGCGACACAGTACTCTACGCAACAGGATATTGGCCGATCCCAAGAAGTGGGAAAGATCAGAATAAGAGAAGAAGCGTCGGGGAGAGAAATAATGAGAGGAACACACGGAAGCGCGCACACATGTGGACCGAGAAGAGCTGTGAAAGATTGGGGGAGCAGGAGGAGCAGAAGAAATGAATTGGTCATTTATATACTGGATCTGTGATCGCAAAGAGATGGTGGGGAACCTGCCGTCTGTGCTTGGAACTGCCTGTAGCACTGCCTGACGTTGCTAGCTCTTCCATTTTGAGCCCCGGCCCTTCTTTCCACGAAGAAGAAACAGGCAAAGGCTACGCTGAAAGAGGGAGTGGGGACCCAAGTTCCCCAAAGATAGCCCTGCTCAGGTGGGGAAGGGCGGGGGACAGGCAGGTGGAGGTGGTGGGGAGAACCTGCAGCCTTCTAGATATTATGGGATGGGCAGTTCCCATGAACCCTCACTGCCGACTATCGTGGCTCGGACTAATGAGTCTAACTCCACTTGGAGAGACACCCTTGCCCGTTCTTTCTCTTTGGACTGAAGAGCAGGAGAAGAAAAACTGATGAAAAATATTCCCCCCTATCTATCTATCTATCTATCTATCTATCTATCTATCTATCTATCTATCTATCTATCTATCTATCTATCTATCTATCTATCTATCTATCTATCTATCTATCTATCTATCTATCTATCTATCTTCTATCTATCTATCTATCTATCTATCTAATACAACAAAATGGAAGCTTATTGGGGAGATATATATATATATAAACTCTATTGAATCATCTCTGCAGGAAGATAAACAAGACACTGATGGGATGGGCCTATTATTAATAATCTACGGATAAGACAGATGACTCCGGACGGCAGCTAATAATAGCTTGCTGAGAACACTGGGGAGAGATGGGACTTTTTCTTTCATGCTTTCTCCCTCTGGAGGCGAGTTTGGGGAAGAACAGATTTTGGGACCCGAGAGGAAGCTAGAGGAGAAGCAGGTGGGGTCTGGTTTGAGTTCATCAGGAGCTCTGAAAGCATCTTTTTGAGAAAACTCCAAAAATAAGTTGGCCAGTAAACCTGATAAGAGGCAAACAGAATGTTAAAATACTATATTTTAAAGCTGGTAGGGTTCAAGTTGCCTTGAAATACATATTTTAAACCCCCCTCCCGCATTTCAAAATTGAAGAAATAAGGGGGGAAGGTTCTGGTGTTGTCAAAAGTATTTTCCTGTTCATCTCTATTAATCAGGATAGGAAGGATTGGCTGGCTGGCTCACTGGGGTGAGGACTTCAGTTTCCTCGTTCTAAGACTTTGTACAGATGTGTGTTACATGTAAATACATCCTGACTGGGGATAATTCAGAGGCAGGCAAGAAGGATGATGAGGGGACAGGAAACGAAGACCTAGCAGGAAAGACTGAAAGAAGTAGGCATGTTTAGCAGGAAGACTGAAAGAAGTAGGCATGTTTAGCCTTGAGAAATAAAGAGTAAGGGGAGATACGATAACATTTTTCAAATATTTGAAAGGTGGTCCTACAGGAGGGGAGATACGAGAACATTTTTCAGATATTTGAAAGGTGGTCCTACAGAAGGAGGGGCAGAATCTGTTCTCCATCATCCCAGAGTGAGAACACGCCACAATGGGCTCAAATTACAGGAAGTCAGAATATCAGGGAAAACTTCTTAACTGTTAGAGCAGTATGACAATGGAACCCATGGCGTTGGGAGGTGGTGAGCGCTCCAGTGTTGGAAACATTCAAGAGAAATTGGACCACGATCTATCAGATCTACTTTGATTTGGATTCCTGCCTTGAGCAGGGAGTTAGGTTCAACAGCCTTATAGGCCTCTTCCAACTCCATTATTCTATGAGTCTCATGTATCCCACTACAGTGGTGCCTCGCTTAACGACGATAAACCATTCCAGGAAAATCGCTGTTAAGCGAAAACATCGTAAATCGAAATAAAAAACCAACATTGAAATGCATTGAAACCCGTTCAGTGCGTTCCAATGGGGTAAAAACTCACCGTCCAGCAAAGATCCTCGATACGGCGGCCATTTTTGCTGCCTGTATACCGAGGAATCCGTCCCGAAACACAGCGGGGAGCCATTTTAATTACCCAGTGGCCATTTTGAAACCGCTGATCAGCTGTTAGAAGAACGTTGTTTTGCGAAGAATCGGTTCTTGAAGCAGGGAACTGATCATCGCAAAGCGAAATTCCCCCATTTAGACCATCGTTTTGCGATCGCAAAATCATCGTAAAGCGGATTCGTCGTAATGCAGGGCAACCGTAAAGCGAGGCACCACTGTATTGTTACGCTGATCCTCTCCCCAATAACTAAATAACACAACTGGCCTCTACTCCCCACTTGGCGGCAGAGAGGTGCTTAAGATTCTCTTAAAGATGCAATCTTTCTGACATTTCTGAACCAGCCAGAACCCAATAGGGATTGATTTGCTATTTACTCTTGAGTATTGCACATGTGTACTCGGATTACTCTGACTTAGTGCCGAACAAACAGCCGGGTGAGTCATTCCATTTCCTGGTGGATGTGTTTATCATCTAAGCCTTGGTTTTGCGCTCTTCGGCCCCTGCCGCCACCGTTGTTGACTATCTTTGCAGTCGGTCGGAGCAATTAATCACAATAATGTCATCTGAAAATTGGCTCTCTTCAACTCGAGAGCTCAAAGCCTTCTTATTTTTTTTTAAAGGCTGGTATTTTTATAATAGATGCAGAATGTGTTCCGCCCCAGAACATCCAAGCTGTGTGACGAAGGAAAAAAACGCTTCTCACCTTGCCGTGAGAAAATGTCATCCTTTCATCTGTTTCTCCTTTTTTTAACCAAAGACACCAAGAATGTGGTCCTAGGGAAAGAGAGGGGAGGTGTTCCAACGTAAGAGGTCCGCCCAGAGGGAGACCAGGAAGTCTATGACTTAAGTGCTGGGCCTTCTCTATGGTGGCCACCTCTTGATGGAAGGCTCTATCGATGGAGGTGCGCCCGGCGCCTTCCTTCCCAATATTCAGGCAACACATAAAAACCTTGCTTTTCAGGGAAGTATTTCAGGTTAGCATCCTCCCTTTATAATTGTTGGTCGTTTCGTTTTATTTTGACCATCATACCCTTTGACTTGCCCATTGCTGCCATCTTGGTTTTTCAGATCTGTTGTTTTGTTATATAGATCTGTCCTGTTTTATATATTTGGTATAGAATATTTACGATCTGAAGGTTAAAGAGAAGCAGCAGCTCTAGTGAGAAAACATTTATGTTTCAGCTGCAGGCTGGATGTGGTCTACTCTAGATAACCACAGTGCAAGCTCACGCTCTGATATTTCACCCACCACCCTTGACCTTCAGGACTTCCTCTTTTGTCTCCTCTCAGTAGACAGCAAGCTGTTTAGCTTGGTGTCTAATAAGGAGAGAGCTTAACTGGCGTTGGGGAGTGATGGTAACGCTGTAGATATAATGGTAAGTTGAGTTTGAAAGTGATTTGCTTCTTTGTGACCCCATGGACCAGAGCACGCCAGGTCGTCCTGTCTTCCACCACCTCCCGGAGTTTTGTCAAATTCATGTTGGTAGCTTCGATGCCCCTGTCCATCCATCTCGTCCTCTGTCGTCCCCTTCTCCTCTTGCCGTCACACTTTCCTAACATCAAGGTCTTTTCCAAATGAGTCGTATCTTCTCATGAGATGGCCAAAGTACTGGAGCCTCAGCTTCAGGATCTGTCCTTCCAGTGAGCACTCAGGGTTGATTTCCTTCAGAACGGATAGGTTTGTTCTCCTTGCAGTCCAGGGAACTCTCAAGAGCCTCCTCCAACACCACAATTGAAAAGCATCCATTCTTCGGCGCTCAGCCTTCTGTATGGTCCAGCTCTCGCTTCCATACCTCGCAACTGGAAAAACCATAGCTTTGACTATGCGGACTTTTGTCGGCAAGGTGATGTCTGTGCTCAAGCCAGAATGTAAGATGCTGTCTAGGCTCAAGCCAGAATGATTCACATGTTCCTTTCCAGAGCACCTGCAGGTGTCTTCATTGCCCAGCTGCTGCTACTGCAGGCTTCAGCAGATCTCAGCATGTTTTAAGATTTGCAAAAGTCATTTTTAGAGGGGAAATATCAAAGGGATCTCTGCCCGGATAACAGTGGAAACTGAACACGGGCAGTGAGTATGCAGTACTGAGTGACTGGAGCTCACTCCATCGCATGGATTCGATCTTACGACAGCTGGTCTTCTGACCTTGCAGCCCAGAGGCTTCTGCGGTTTAATCTGCAGCACCACCACGTCCCTTAAGTGGGATAGTACCCATGTACAAAGTGCTTTGCTTGAACCCTTCCCCAGCCCTTAAACGCAACAGCGAAGGACATCAGAAAAAGCCACCTGAGCTAGTAGGGGGATTCTGGGAGTGAGAATCCGAAAGCTTTGTCCCATCTCTGCTGCAGCAGGTTGGGGAGTCTGGAAAGGGGGCGAAGTGGAAAGAGGTATTTGAGCGCTCTCTCATTATTCTTCCTTTTTGTCTCTCCTCTGCAGGAATCAGTCAGAGCCGGATCTCCCACTGGCTGTTACAGCAGGGCTCAGACCTGAGCGAACAAAAGAAAAGGGCCTTTTACCGATGGTACCAGCTTGAGAAAACCAATCCTGGTAAACAAAACCAAGCCCAGGCACTCCGGCCGTTCCCTCTGAACCAAACCTTTTGCCGGGCGGCTGTGAGTGTCGTTGGCTTCGCTGTGGTTTGGTCGGCATGGATTTCCCCCCCTTCCTGCCCCTGCTCGGAGTCCATTTTTGGAAAAGGGGGGTGGTGGAGGTTGGGACAGACAAGGGAAGGATCTCGGAAAGTGGGACTTTGAGTTTGGGGTACCGTTTCCTAGCATGCTTTGGCTAGCAGAAGCGCAGAGGCGTGAGTGTTTGGAGAGAGGGTTTCAGTCTTCATCCTAGATCTGTGGTTCCCAGTCTTGGGTCCACGGATGCTCTTGGACCGCAACTTCCAGAAATCCTGGCCAGCGCAGCCAGCTGCGAAGGCTTCTGGGAGTTTTAGTCCAAGAACATCTGGGGACCTAAGGGTGGGAGCCACTGTTCTAGATCATTAATCCTTACAGTTGTCGTAAGTCCAAAGTATCTTGGTAACACGGAACAGCAGGAAAAGATGCTGGAAGAGATGGAGCTCTGAGGACTGGGGATGGATATGGGCCTCTGGAGGTTGCTCACCTTTCATTGGCAGGATCCGGCAGCAGGTGTCTGGAAGGAGCTTTGCTAACCCGAGTCTCTAGAAAGCCAGTGCTAATCAAAGCAAAAGTAAACTTTTTGGGACTGCAGCTGCAAGGGTCTCCCTACACTGGGGTCCACTGGCCCTGTTGCCAGGCTGGGTGATTCAGGGAGATGCGGTACGTCAGTGTCACTTTTCCGAGCTCTGAAGCTGACAGCAGCGAGCGAGATTTGCAAAGAGTGTGATTTGGTGGAATAAAGCAGCTTCTCTTCCCATCTTAAAGTAGCCTTTGCAGAATCACTCATTTCTCTTCCAAACATGAGGTGCTCTAGATCTCCCCACACCTATTTTTTCCTCTTTTTTTAATGAAGCACAGCTACAGGTATATGTAGGAATCACCTGCAAAATCCCAGCAGGTTCATAACAAGGCTTGTCTACCCTGGGGTTGGGTTTCCCACCAGCGATCCCACCCTATGGAAGCCAAGCCTGGATGCACTGCCTTCCCCGTCGACTGCCCCCCCCCCGGCATCCTTTTTTTGGGAACAGTATACCGTATTTTTCCATGTATACAATGCCACCATGTATAAGACGCCCCCCCTTTTATAATCCAAAATTAAGAAATCTAAGTGGGGCTTAGCAAGTGCAGGGGGAAAGGGATCAAAGCGCTGCAGGATCGCTTTGATCCCTGCTTTCCCCTCCACTTGTTTTTCTTCTCTCCTCAGCTTACTTCCGTGTATAAGATGACCCTCAAGTTTTAGTCTAAAGATTTTAGACAAAAGTATAGTCTTATACACGGAAAAATACGGTATATCTCTCTAAATGAAAGTTTTGCAGGTCTCTGAGAAGGGGTGACTGGTACTTTGCCTTCATCCTGCATTTCAGCGGAACAAGGCTCCGAGGCAGGCTTCCAGCTAGTCGTAACAAGACTGGCTTCGCCTCCAGTCTTGACTGTCCAAGTGACACAACACAGAAGGAAAAAGAGCTTGGGAAGGAGAAGGAAAAAAAATAATAATGGCACGAGTTCTTTGTGACCCAGTTCTTGTAGGATGGTGGAAAGCATCCTTTTTGTCCAGACTGCCGCCACGATGGTCTTCCTCAAAGAAGGACGGGGCCCCTTCTTCGTCAGCAGATGATCGTTGGGGAGGTGCACTGCCCCTTTGAGGCCCCTTTGCTTGAACCTCCCGTACAGCCGACAGCGACCCTTCCCAGCCGTTTTAAGTTTTCGATTTGAGTTGTTGCCGCTCCGATAGACTCTTGGGGTCACCCTGAGAGAGATCTCGGAGCGCCCACGCTTTGACACGAGGCAACATTCATTCATCAGGGCCGGCTGGCTCAGTCTGGTTGGCAAAGAGGTGGCCCGTCGGCGTGGGAAGATGAGTAACTAACCTTGGCAGCAGTTCCTCCTTGCTTTCTGGGCAGACACTGAGAGATGGCGGCGTTGGCTTCCAATGCAGGATAGCGACCGTCTGGGTTTTCTTTTTTCTTTTTTCTTTTTGGCAGAAATTCTGGAGCATTCTCCTTGGGCTCAGTCTCGTGTTATTGGCTGCTTCTGGCACCGCCGGAGGAATAGAAATTCCCTCCACGTAATTATATATCATCTTAGAACTGGAGAGCGGGAAGGGACCCTCTGGGTCATCCAGTCCACCCCCTGTCAAGGAGGCACAGCGGGGAATCGAACTCACAACCTCTGGCTCTGCAATCAGAGACCAAAACCCCTGGGCTCCCCAGCAGTGAATTTAGAGGCAACCCCCCCACACACACACACAGACCCAAAAGGGTCCAGTAGAGTCTGAGCATTCTCTGCTCTGCCAGTTTGTTGAATGCTAGACTGGAAAGGGAAAAAAATATAAGGGAAAATCCTGATCTCTAAATCCTGCCCAGAGACCACCAAATTAGGCCTGCTATTATCACACCAGCAAAGTTCTGTGGATAGTTTACCTAGGAGTAAGTCCTGCTGAGTTCAGCAGGATTCATTTTTTTAGTAATGGGTTTTAGAACTCTAGTCTGTTGTTGAACATACGTAGAGAGTCCTTGACTGCTGGGGATTTTAATTCATCTTCACTTTTTTGAGCTTCCAAGTCTCGAAAAAGGACATGTGCATAGAAGTGGACTTGGCTTTGTGTGTCTGAGAGCAATGTATTCCACTGGGCCTTCTTCCGAAGGAGATTTTCATAGAGACGAGCTGTGCTTTCATAGACTTGGTAGAAAAAGTTATACCCAAATTAGGAGGAATCCTATCTGCCCCCTTCTGGCTTTGCTTTGCTCCCTGTTGATCTGCCATTGGCCCTGACCCCCACCCCCTATGCTTTGGCCTGCCCCCTGCCAAATGGCGTGCAGATTGGAATTGCCTTCCCCAGATGTTCTAAAGTTTTGGCCATGTGAGGTCTGCATGCTTTCAAATCTCTCTCCGTCCACGAAATCACATATATTAAAATGGGAAAGCAAAGACACTGAAGATGCTCATCTAAAGTTTGTACAGCCTATGGGTATGTTTTGACACAGGGATGTGGGGTGGAAAAGCCTTTTCAAAGTAAGGACTTTTTGGGGGAGAAGAGTGGAGGGGGGCAGCAGATGGGAGTGTGTGGGGCCAGAAATGGGGTGACCCAGAAATGTTTGGGATACCATGTTAGTACATGATAAAGCCACGTTTGCTTCTTCCGCCTGCTCATGACAACCATGCTAATAACAAAATAAGAGGACATATTTGTATGTTGTCCTCAAACTCATCACCTCCATCAATAGGGACATTTGAGGGAGGAACTCAGTGGGAAATGAGCTTATTGAGTGGGTACAGAATGCTGGCTGATAGTTTTGAGGATAATGAGAAAACTGAGGTCTTACAGAATGGCCGGAGTCCTGAACAATAGCAATATCCACGTTGCAAATATTTCGGTTTGCCTTCCCTGAACATTTACCAAATTTGGCTTGTTCCTGAACTAGGCCCTCTCCAACCAGAACTGGAGCCTATTAGGTTGTGTCAGGGTAACAGGTGATGTCACTAGCAATTGGCAACCTTTTTAGGTGCAGCAAATAAAATCTGAATTACTTAAGTGTAGTGAGTAACTACTTTTTTGAAGGACATTTTAAGAGGGATTTGACTAGAGTTTTCCAGCTTTTGTGCCTCTCTCTCTCATCCATCCTAAATGGCATGGGAAGTATTCCTTGGTTTTGTTGTTGTGTTTTTTTTTTTCCAATATTCCTATTGCAATATCAGAATTGGCCACAAGGAGGCAGCAGAGAGTTTTTCCCTTTCCGGCAAGGACAGTGGGTTCACAGAATCATAGAATAATGGAGTTGGAAGAGGTCTAAATCAGCACTGAGTGATGTGTTAATAAAGTTCAGCACATCAAACGGCTAACTCTGTTGGGGCAACAGTCATGGTAACAGCAACCCGCATGCTGTTAAGCAACTAATAACACAAGTTGCTTTGAAAATGTACCCTTCCACTCTCTGACCTCCACACTCATAGAAGTGTGGGTCATAAATGGCAACTTCCAGGTAAACTGGCCTCTCTTTTCCCCAGGGATGGGCCTGAGAACGCTCACAAATGTTGGACTGAAACATGAGCTGTAGCTGGGCGGGCTAATTTTTTAGCTGGGCCGCTAATGTCTTTATAGACATTGCTGATGCTCAAAGACAGGTGAGACGGGGGAAAGCGTGTTTTGTATTCTGATGGCAGACCTGTCAATATGTGATTTACATGAAAGCAGATGTATGGAAGAAGAAGATTTATGGATTTTTTTTTGGTTGGGTCTCCCTTTCAACTAAGAAGCCTCTTTGAAATGCTCATCTTCCAGAATTACTTTGCATCTGTTACCTGGGTGCTAAGCAGGGCAGAAATTCCTTCCTTCCTCCGTTTGCTTTGTAGTTGATCTCCAGAGAGAAAAAAGGTCTATTCGGGACCACAAAGCAAACCTTTTCTTTCTCCTCGCATATACATGTATGAATATTTTGTCTGCATTTGCAGATTGTTTCTTTTCTTCTTTTAAAGACCTACTTTACGCCTTTTCCAGAATTATTCTGAGTTCAGAGCAAGATTTTCCGTAACATCCACATAAGCAGCTATGATATTCGGCTTTATCTTTTGAGGTTGATGGTTAGCTTGAGTATTTGTGGCACTCTGAGCTAAAACTTTTGAACAGGGGGGGGGAAGTCTACGTGCTGTATGGGTTTGTGATTTGCCATTTTGCCTCTCCCGTAACAAAATCCAGAGGATAGAAGGGTGTGTATGTGTGTGTGATAAAGAGACCTAAGGAAGGTTCATGAACATTCCACCAGAGGAAGAAGAAGCATCATATTCTGCCAGACATAATCTTGTTTCTGAAGTAGACCCTCTTAATCAGAATTCGGAAGTGACAAGTACCTACTTATCTTTTAGATAACAAGGAGTATGACTAGTAGCGGTAAAGTTTCTTTCTATGTGTTGCAATTAGCACTTACCCGTATTTTTCGCACCATAAGACGCACCTTTCCATAAGACACACCAATTTTTTAGGAGAAGAAAACAGGAAAATATAATCTGTTTTCTTCGCTCCATAAGACACACAGACTTTCCAGCCCCCTGTTTTGTGGGGGAAAAGTGTGTCTTATGGTGCGAAAAATATGGTAAGTCTAGTCAAAGGGAGCAGGTGGAAGAGGCATAGAGAAGAGAGAAGGCAGTTTTGCCGAAGTAGATGATGATTAGGCTGGGAGACAAGGTGGCTGGAAAATATCACAGGGAAGTTGTGTGTAAATGTATTCAGAGACTGGAATTATATGTAAATGCTTCCAAATTAATTGTATGGACTGGAAATAAGGCCTGAATGAATATTTATCTGTGCAACACAGTTGTGCCTAAAAAGAAGGAAAGAAGGCTTTCCTTGCATTTAGATTTCACTGTTTTTACTGTAAGCTGCCTTGGGTCCTTTTTAAGGAGAAAGCCAGGTAACAATATTTTATATCAATAAATTATGTCTGTGCTGCAGCACCGGGATAGGTCTGGGTTTAAAAGAGCCATTTTTGTTTCCCACAATGAGTGGAAAAAGTGCCTTTTATAAAGAGGATATGTGTCACTTAGATGCTTTATTAGCAGTTCTTAGAAATGGATGTTGTTTTTCAGCCTGTTTTTCTTCCTAACACTTCACCAGTCTCTGTGGCCGGCATCCCACACACTACACCAGAACACAGACAGAGTTCCGACTCCTGTCCTCTGAAGATGCCAGCCACAGAGACCGGCGAAACGTTAGGAAGAAAAACCTCCAGAACACGGCCAAACAGCCCGAAAAACCTACAACAACCATCGGATCCCGGCCATGAAAGCCTTCGTGAATGCAGTTCTTAGAAATGATTAACTTAAGAAAAAAGGTTGACTGGTTAAGAGTACCATTAGTATTAGAGGTTCTCTGTAAACAAGAATGTAGTGGTGGAGATACGTGTGCAAAATAGTGCTGTCACGTTGATCGGTGGTGAGATAGTAGTACATGCATAGCGATGTACGTAGGCATCGTGCCAACTCTACCCAGATGATGCCTTCCATTTCGGAATTTTGCAAACTACACAACAGTGGTGTAGTGATAGATCCGAAAGTTGCAGGTGCTTTATCTTAACAATGCCAGGAGCCACGATGCTTCCCCATTTAGGAGAATCCAAAACAGCCATCTGGAGCCTTGGGGCATAGTGGCTAAACTGGCCTAGTACTGTCAAAACAGTGCTCAGGATCTAAGTTTGATCCCAAATGGGCTCAGCTAGCTGGTTTGAGATTCACTCAGCTTTCCATCCTTCGGAAGCCGGTAACTTGAGTACCCAGCTTGCTGCGGGGCCAGGTTGTAGGTTGCATAGTTAAATTGTAGACTGCCCAGAAAGTGCTTTGAACTAGAGACGGGCGCTTTCTGTTCAGATTAGAAATGACGCCCGGTAACGATTCCCATCCCCCACACCAAGAACCAGACAGTCGACTTACCGGGCTCCACATGGCACAGGGGTCCATCTTCACTACTGGCGCACCAATCCCAGAAGGAGCCTGGCCAGCCCTTCCCTGCCTCCCCAGGCAGCTGAAGGCAGACCTCTGCACCATACGGAGCCTGGTAAGTCGACTCTGTGGTTCAGGGCATAGGGGGAAGGGAATCGGTTTTCTAAGATGAATATGGAGCACCCATCTCTACTTTAAATGCTATGGTGCGTTATATCAGCAGCACACTTTGCTTTGGGATCAGTCCGTATCAGCAAATGAGGAGAGGGTCTGTGCTAAAGAGCGTGGCTCTTAATTGTCCATTCGAGGTCAAACCACCTTTAAATACTTTAAAACTCTTTCTCCATTCTAAAATGAAGATTGCGGATGCATTCAGAAGGAGCAGTGAAGCCAGAGGGGGATTGTAGGTCATGTCATAACCCTTAGCCTTCTGACAGTCCCAGGGCTTTGACCGATCAAGCCCCAGCATCACTACACTGTGGATACTCATCCATTTTTTTTCTGAGAAATAAGACTTGAGAATGAGAGGCTGGGGGTCTCGTTGTGGTGGACAGCTCACATTATCCTGCCCACTCAGTTTTCCTATGCAGGGGGGAACCCCTATGTGCTATGACTGCCTCTCGCCCCGTCCAAATTTTAGAGGAAATGGAAAAAAAATTCCCTCTTGGGAATAGCTTCTGTGTCCTTGGCCGGTCCGAAAAAGAAGAGCAGTTTTTTCTTTCTGTTCCTTAATTTCGCTTATGTTTTTTTGCCTTTCCAGGGGCTACGTTAAGCATGAGGCTGGCCCCCATCCCGGTGGAAGAGCCGGAATGGAGGCAGACGCCTCCCCCTGTCACAGCTACCTCTGGGACCTTCCGCTTGCGGCGGGGCAGCCGGTTCACCTGGCGGAAGGAATGTTTGGCCGTCATGGAAAGGTTGGTGGCTCGCCGAGGACTTGACGTTGTGAAATGTGTGTGTTCGCGTTTCTGGATCGCATGAGGCTGGCCCCCATCCCGGTGGAAGAGCCGGAATGGAGGCAGACGCCTCCCCCTGTCACAGCTACCTCTGGGACCTTCCGCTTGCGGCGGGGCAGCCGGTTCACCTGGCGGAAGGAATGTTTGGCCGTCATGGAAAGGTTGGTGGCTCGCCGAGGACTTGACGTTGTGAAATGTGTGTGTTCGCGTTTCTGGATCTCACGGCATGATGTGTGCTTGGGTTTTTTTTTAAATGCATTTTCTACATCAAAGTCTGCTTTAAATATTGAATTCAGGCCTAGATTTGACTATATTATGGAACCTACAGCAACCGGTTCTACCTTTTCCTTTATTATCCAAGCCAGCGGCTTTCTTGTATATAGAGATTATGTGTTTTTATTTTAACTTGATGCTGTTTGTTTGTTTTGCTGTAATCCTCCCAGAATAGTGTATGCACTAGGGGGGCAGAATATAAATTTAAGTGATGGATGGATGGATGGATGGATGGATGGATGGATGGGATGG